TCTTACTGATTAAGTATTAGCTCTAGCAGTGGATCAGGGATTATAATTAAAAGACTAATATATCCTCTGTGCAAAGGGAAGTTCTTCTCACTAGTACTATATCCATGTTTCGAATGATAATTCTTTATCTAATTCTTTAATAAGGCTTACTCCCTAGTAAACAATTACACCCTTAAACAATTATTTAGTCCTGATATTAATCTCTTATGATTAAGGGATGAGACCAATAGTCAACATTGTGAAGAAGGCCAGAAACCCCTTTATAGCAAGGAAGGCTATGGTCAGAGGAGGTGAGGGGCAGGAATTGCATGACCAACAAGCAGGCGGGAATACGCAGAACAACTTTACACAAATGGAAAAACAAGGCCAAGTTGTAACATGAAAAGCAGACCTACCAGAAATGGATCCCGATCCTTCCTGGGGAAGGAAGTAGTGTGGGCACTCAACCAGTTACCTAACTGCAAAGCCCCTGGAGTTTTCTGGAATTCCAGCAGAGCTGCAGAGACTGCTGCCAACAAAAGCACTGACAAGCGCTATGCCAAAATGTATGGAAGTCTGGTCAGTGGCAATGGAAAAGGTCAATATTTATCCCAATACTGAAGAAAGGTTATACAAAAGACTGTTCCAACCACTGAACCATAGCTTTGATACCACACATAAGTAAAATTCTCTTGAAAGTAATCCAGCAACCTTTGAATCCAATTGCCAATCGAGAGCAGGATTTCATAAAGGAAGAGGAAGACGTGATCATATTGCTGATCTATGTTGGATGATGGAAAAAGCAAAGGAATACCCAAAAGTCTTTTACGTGTGATTCATTGACTGCACAAATGCCTTTGACTGTGTTGACCATGACAAGCTATGGAACTGCCACAAAGAACTGGGAATATCACCACACCGTATCCAGCTCATTCAGTACTCTGATCAAGTAGCCACTGTAAGAATGGAATATGAAGACACAAAATGGTTCAGAATTGGAAAAGGCACTTGGCAAGCTTGCATCCTGTTACCTATACTATTCAACATGAATACAGAAATAGTTAAGAGAAATGTACATTTGGAGGAATCTACCATTGGGATTAAAACGGTGGTAGGAATATCAACAACCTCCGTTATGCAGATGATATGACACTGCTTGCAAAAATCAATGAAAATATGGAGTGACTAATTTCAGAGTCAAAAATGAAAGCAAGAAGTTTGGTCTGCACCTTAACATCAAGAAAACAAAAATACCACTCAAAGCCAAGATCACCAAACAAAAGCTATCATACTTTGATCGTGTCAAGTGAGTGGACTCACTTGAAAAGTCCATCATGCTGGGAGTGATCAGTGGAAAAAGAATGGGCCACCCTAGTACTCGTTGGCTGGACATATAAATGATGACACTGGGATGATGCCATGGCAGATCTGAAGGAGGTAGTGAGAGACAGAGGGGCATGGAGAGTGCTGATCCATAGAGTGGTCAAAGCTTGGACACGACTGAGTGGCTGATGATGAGTCACGATTTCTCTTAAATTAGCTTCCAGAGAAATAGCCATGTCACAATAATGAAAAGGCTCTACAATAAATGTATTATTGCATTATCTTTTTTTCTAACACTAACAATTAACTGTTATGTGAAGAAGTACTTCCTAACTGCTGGATTCACACATTATGCAAAGCCATAATCTATCCTGAACTTAAAATATTATGTGAATACAGCTATCAGGGCTTGCAAATCATTATTTATGGTATATCACATTTGAATCCTAACAACTGTGATCCATGGCTAAATAAGCCATGACTTAAATTAATGTACAAGCCAAGTTTTTCTCTATTTTTCCATTTGGCTTCACTGGCTATTCCTGAATTCTACTATTTTGGTAGAGTAAGAAAAATTTCTCCTAGCCACTTTATCTAGAGCAGGGATGTACTCTCTGAACTCAGGCAAACAATCAAGCAGAAAACAATACCCTAATCAAGGAACTATCAAGGAGAAACTCCCACCAATACCTACACTGGCAGGGCAAGCTACCATAGAGAAAGAGAGAGCAAATCCCACACTCACTCACACTGATGGTATTACCCAGTTGGGTAATGAAACACATGCAGGCAAACAACCAAACTCAGAGAGCACCAAGGACTCCAAACCAAGCACTCTTTTTCAACTTCCTATAGTTAATCCCCTACTGTTAATCTTTATTGCAATGTGTAACTAACTAAGAATGCAGAGGACCGAATACCAAGTGTGATTCCTATGTAATGTGTGCATACATTCAAGGGAAACTGGTGTCATTGTGTAAATGATATTTCCTCATCAGCAGAATTAAATTAATTACAATTTTTTCTGATTAAGCTGAGAGGAAATGTGGGCATTTTCATAATGGCCTTTATTTAAAGAACACTTCTGGTAATGACACCTTCCAACATTTGTTGACATGGTTGAAGAAATTTGGAGCTGAAGCTGAAGGAAAAAATGGACTCCATTCTAAAGCCTAATACACAGCAGTCCTAGATACAGAACATGGACCACTTTTCTTTTCCAAGGTTTGATAAAACTAAATCATGTGATTTTTTTATAATCCCCTTTGCATGTTGATTACATGCTTTGATTGATGGCACCCATAAATGGGAAATGTGAAGCAAATGCCCAAGAGCTATCAATTTTGAATAGGTGAGTAGAATGCACATATTAGAGCCTGTCAACTTGGTGGCTGGGTCACCAAGTCTGCTAGTTGGTGATCGATTTATGTTGTCCATTTCATCAGACTCATGGAGCTGAGGAATTTGTCGGCACTGGTACCTGTCCTATGAATTCCATCATTCTGTGGTTCTGGAGCTATATATCACCATCTCTCAGAAAACTGGTGAGGAGAAGCTCCGGTCTTGGAACTGGTTTTGGTTGATGTTGAGGGAAGTTTGCTGACCGTCATGTGATCACTCTTGGGTGAGAAATAGGGGAAAGATGCAGCCTAGAACTGAAGAGTTTTGTTTTGTTCCCCTCTGGTTACAGAGGTGGTGACAGTGGTGGTGGTAGAATGGAATGTTTTATTTTGATGAGTGTGTATATGCCTGTGATATAGAGTGCAAATTACAAGTTAGATCAAGGAGCACTGAGTGCTAAACAGAACCATCACTGACACCTGACTGGTTAGCTGGTTGAATCAGTGTCATTTGGTGTAGGAATGGGCCCTCTTGTAGAATAGAGGGCAGGAATTTGAGAAGGGGGGGTGCTTTTAAGGAAGAAAGGGCAGGTGGCAATATCATGATAGTGATGGGCAAAGGAAGATAGAGAGGGAGATAAGGAAAGGTTGCACATTAAACCTGGCATCCTTCTGGACCAGCTGAAGATCTGGAAGTGGGAGGCACGCTATTGTACGGTTCTTGTTTCTCAATGGCTGTCATGGGGGACAGAGTTCTGGGCCTTGATCTCTGCTTTGCAGGACACCTCAAGACTTTATACTCTCCTCTCTTTAGCATCTGCATGAAGCTGCTGGGTGATGTCATGAATCGATATGGGATAAGGTATCGTCAATGTATTGATGATGTCAAAATTAAGTGCCACAAAGTGGTCAGATGATAGTATAGATTCTTTCCCAGTTCCTGGAGATTGTAGGGCTCTGGATGGGAAAGAAACAGATTTGGTCTTGCCCCAATCTGGCCAAGACCAAATACTGTAGGCTTTGGAACCTTCCTGTATTTGTATAATGTCCACATTTAATTCTGAGTACGGTTACAATTTCTCAAATAAGAGGACTTGGGAATCTTCTTGGACTTGCAGGTCTTGCTCAAAGAGCAGTGGCAGCTGCAGTCAAGAAGTCTTTTGCACACATCCATTTTGTGCACCAATTGTGCCTGTTTCTAAACCAGGAGGCTCTGCTGACGGTCACCCATGCCTTACTCGCCTCGCATTTGGACTACTGTAATGAACCTTACACAGGGCTACCCTTGAGGAGTATTCAGAAGCTTCAGCCCATCTAGAATGATGTGATCTATTTGGGTGCCCCACAGCATACCTATGCCATGCTACTGCTTCCCAAGCTGCACTGCCTCCCCATAAGCTTCCAACTGCAGTTGAAGTTACTGAATATTACCTATAAAGCCCTTCATAGTGCCAGAACAGTCACTTGTGTGGCTATTTTCAATTGTTTCTACCCATCCCACCATATCCGACTAAATGATAATGTTCCACACCCCCTCTATAAGATAGTGCTATCTAATGAGATCACAAGATGTGCCTTCTCTATCCCAGACCCTGCTTTATGTCCTCCATGATCTAGATGGCACCAACCCTATTGGGCCTTCCCCAAAGTTTTAAAGACCTGGCTATTCCCCTATACAAGTAGTCCTCGATTTACGACCACAATTGAGCCCAAAATTTCTGTAGTTAAGTGAGACATCTGTTAAGTGAATTTTGCCCCATTTTACAACTTGTATTGCCAGAGTTGCTAAGTGAATCGTTGCAGTTGATAAATTAGCAACCGGTTGTTAGATGAATCTGGCTTCCCCATTGACTTGGCTTATCAGATCACAAAAGGGGATCACATGGCCCCAGGACACAGCAACAGTCATAAATATGAACCAGTTGCCAAGCCTCTGAATGTTGATCACATGATCATGGGGATGCTTCTTCTTCTTCTTCTGCCATATCCGCTATCGGATGTTGGCGATCATGTTGACACTCCTGTTTTTATCAGCAGCCGCACGAAAAAGTGCTGCTGAGTTTTGTCCAAACTAGTCCCTTAGATTTTGAAGCCACAATGTTCTTCTTCTGCCTGGACCTCGTTTGCCTTCAATCTTTCCCTGGAGGATTAAATGGAGTATGCTGTATTTTTCTGGGTGTCACATCACCTGTCCAAAATATTCTAATTTTCATTTTTTAATTGTTTTGATGATTTCCCTTGGCTTTCCTAGGCGGCTTATCACCTCCTCATGGGGATGCTGCAAAGGTTTAACTGTGAAAAATGCTCATAAATCACATTTTTCAGTGCTGTTGTAACTTTGAACGGTCACTAAATGCACTGTTGTAAGTCGAGGACAGATTTTTAGTGAGCTTGGTCTGCATGATGGCCATGTTTTGGCGGGGCCTTAGTCAATCGTTGGTGACACAGCATTACATTAGCTTTTATTACTTTATTTATGTTATTGTTCTTTTAAATTGTTGCTAGCACCAAGTTGGGTGGCTTTTAAATAAACTAACAACTCTCCACCCAGCAAGTAACAATTAACTTTCATGAAGCCAACAGCTGCTTTTCCCAATACCACATTTTTCATTGTCTTAAATTGAAAGCTACCTTTCCCCTTTTTGCCCTCCTACCCCATTTTTGTATTGGCTGGTGTCCATGGCCTCACCTTTTTTTTTCTTCTTTTTTTTGCCACACAAATAAATCCATGTATGAGTTGACTCATGAATCACCTGCTCCAATAATGAAGTCTGAATCACCGGACTAAGGACTAAAACCTTACTGCAAGGCACTAGTCCTCAGCAAACATCTCCAGCTGACCTCCACACACCTCCTCTACCTCCTTGGAAGAGTGACCCGCTACGAAGCCCTTGAAAGTGGGAAAGGGGGCTGTTTCTGGACTCGGCTCCAGTTCCACGTTGCTGGTTTCTGGGTGAGTTCCCGGTATCCAGAGCACCGACCTGAACTGTAACTATAGTAGCTGCGCGATGTCTGGGGTTGACGAACCCCCTCCCCCACCCTCATTCATCCCAAAGGGGGGGTGTCTGCCGCTGTTCGCGAGGGGGCATCGGGGGAAGCGGTGCCGCTGGGCTTTCCCGGGGTGACTCCGTCTTTAGGGCCCCGCCTCTCCACGTGGGGCTCCTTTGAGAAAGCCACAAAGCCGCCCTCTCGGCTGTTTACAAGCTTTGGAAGGCGCCACCAAGCGAGGGCGGGGGTGGGATGGCCGGAGCAGCGCCGCGATTGGTGGCTGATTCGCCAAGGCCGAGGGCTTGACCCGCCCGCCTCACCCTTAATCCCAAAGGGCCAGCTGGAAGGGCGCCTCCCGATGCTGAATTTCCGCCCTCCGCGGGTCCCACCGGCTCCCCCTCTTTGTGAGGGGTCGGTGGTACCTCGCCATTTAAGAGGATCAGGTTGACTCCTGAGTTCTTTTGGAGGAAGGGGGGGGGGAAGCACCGAGATTAGATGCGCCCGAGAAACAGGAGCTAGTCCGAGTCAAATTAATACATTCCCCCCCCCCCTTCATCGGATACTCGCTGCTCCGCACGCAGGACTTGGCTGTAAGTACTAGCTACTCTGGATTTCCACCCACCCTCCACCCCTCTCCCGTCTATTTTATACGTGTGCAGACTCACACACGCGCGCGACGTTTAATCCACGTTTCACACGATCGGCACCGTTTCCTTTTCGGGCACGCTTTCGTAAACCTTCCGATTAGCACGTAGCTTAAAAGTCTTTGTTGGCTGCTTTTCTCCTAGACTGCTGTTTTGTTGTTGTTGTTAGACGTGCTCGGCGGCGCGAACGTTTCGAGTCGCGTGCCAAGCAACAGGTTTAAGCAGGCATCGGCTTTGGAGAAAGTCTTGAAATGTTCATTTCTTGGGGATAAAGCTTTCCTGAAGAATGCTTCAAAAAAAAAAAAAAAAAGCTGTAGGTAGCCTAGCTCTGCATAAAAACGGTAACGTTTGTCTAATTTAACTTCTAGGTTTTGATCTACAGTAGTTTCTAGACTAGAGTAAGGGTTGGAAATAAAGTTACAATAGAAGAAACAATATAATTCTAAATTCCATTGCTGTAGCCTTGAAAAGATAAACAAGTTTAGAATTATGCAAACGCTCAGATGAATGCCTGAAAAACTTTAGAGGTTCTCCACTCTTAATTTTTCTGCACTACCCCATCCCACTGGGGTTCCCCCCCCCGGAGTTTTGTATGCTCAGGAATATCACTAGTGTTAGACAACTGCATTAAGAGATGCATTAGAATATTTAGAGGCAGCACAGTATTTTAGTTTGAAATACTTATATATATATAAAAAAATCCAAATGTAAGATGTATAGAATATTCATCTAACAGATTTATCAGACAACTGAATTTTGGAATTGCTATGAAAATGTGTTGTTCAAGGGGGTTCGTTTAAATTTAAAGATGAGTGTTTCAGCTGAGAAGGTAAAAATTTCTGTACTCATTCAATTAAAATTATGTGCTTAGGGCTGCTTCAGACACTTTTACCTACAAGGAGCAAACTAGGGACATTGTCATCTGGAAATATCATGCGTGCATATTTTCTGAAGTTAGTCATTTTCCTCCCAACTGCCCACATACCAAATAAGCAACGTTGCCTCCTTTAAGAATTAAAGGAAATAGAGATTTAACCCAATTATTTGGCTTCTTGTGAACACAGTAGTCACCTGCCTGTGAGTTGGGCAGCTATCTAAATTTGTTTAATAAAATAAATACATACTTGGATAAATGATTAATCTTGCTTTCACAAGACTCCTTTAAGGTACATGGAATCCCACACTTAATGATTCAGTGGTGAATGGATGTGGTTAAATCTCACGGCAGATTGATAATACCTTCACAGGTAATAATAATGATGATGATGATGATGATGTTGGAAGGGACCTTGGAGGTCATCTAGTCCAACCCCCTGCTCAGGCAGGAAACCCTATACCATTTCGGACAAATGGCTGTCCAGTCTCTCCTTAAAAACTTCCAGTGTTGGAGCATTCACCGCTTCTGGAGGCAGGTTGTTCCACTGGTTAATTGTTCTAACTGTCAGGAAGTTTCTGACAGTTCTAGGTTGATTGCTTTGAAATCTGCTCCTTTTTAAAAGATTTTCTGTAGTTCTACTGTACAATATAGAGTTTAGGGTTATTTTCTCTTGCACACTTGTAGCCATAAGAATCAGCAGTCAAATGCAGGTGATGGCATCGAGTGAAACTCCAATGTATTGGAAGAATATGTGAAGAAGAAAGCAGGAACAGACATTCAGGCTCCATCGTCAATGTCTCTATGTCTTTGATTGAAGGAATCTGTGCATTTATTGAAAATGCATAAGCTACAGAGTTAGCTATCTTGCACAGTTGGGACTCACCTAGATGGTTTAACTAAACTAGGACAGATTCCTCTTCCGCTTTGCAGCACATGAAGGATAGTTTGAGAGGGGCTAGACCTGGAAGCAAAATCTTCATTGTGGCAGCCCCAGGTCTATGGAATAAATACGGCATGCTGACTTCCTCGCCTCCTCCCCATTGTAGAACTCCCTCTTTTAATGTTGAAAGGCCACCAAGTGTTTCAGCATTTGGAGTGTGCCACTGTGGCATTTGCCTTATTAGTTCCTTAAATATATGAATGGTGTTTTAATTATATTTTGTCATAACAATTGCATTGTATTCATTTTTTATAGAAGCTATTTGCATGTTGGGGAAGAAGAGGCAGAAAACTGGACATTTTAGTAAATAAATCTATGGACCTCTGGGAGAAGGATTTGGAGAATGAAGCACAAATGGGTGGCCTTTGCCACATGTTGCTAATATGTAGAATTGTATCTTATGAAGAAATGCCAGAAGTCACAGAATTTGGGACCACAGGTAGCCAGTAAAATTTTTAAATATTAAAAAAAGTTATAGGTAATATTATGACATAAAAAAGAGACTCTGTAAAACCAATTCCCTAGTGGGCAATTTTAATATTTGTTTTTATATAGAGAGGAGAATATAAAATGGGAATAGCTCCATCTTCAGTCCAAACTAAGATGATCCAGATTTCCACCACAACAATATATAGCTCTCATAGTTAAAGCAGCGAGAACCAAAATATGCCAGAAATTATCCGCATTTCCTATTTTGTTTTCCAACAATTGGGGGTTCCTGTTTTTCACAGTCTGATTTGCTCATCTATAGCTATATAAAAATGTCTTCTTCATCCGATCTGATTAAAGCACAGCTTTGTCTCCTGTAAAGGATTGAATTTTTTTCCTGGGGAACTGATTCCAAATGCAGATATAAAAACTGACACCGAATATTAAGTCTCATGTCTGGAATAATCTGTACAATGATCAGTCTCTGCTTTTGTAGAATATTTCCAGTGATGTTCTGTTTATCTGTCTGTAAAATTACCTTGAGTGTTTTATTGTTTGGCACTGGTTCACATATTCAATTTTGATTTATACATTTTGGCATTTGGACAAATTATGCCCAGTGTTACAGGATTCTTTGTTGGACTTAACTTTCATTATCAGTACAGTTGAGAAGTATATGTGTAACTGGCAGAGAAGGTGAGTTTGGTAAATGGGAATATGTTGGAATTAGTGACATTTCCTGAGAAGAAAGAATGCAGGGTATAAGTTATTTTCTCACTGAATTCTAGAATTAGCATGGCAAGGTCCACAGAGTGAGGCTGTTTCCCTGCTGCACATTGAGCTCATGTAGGCAAGGTAGGCCAGCATTTTTTTTCTATATATTTAAGAGATTTAAAAAAAAGTATTATTTCCTCCATATATTTAATGGGTAATGAAATAGGGCTAAGAAACAGCAACTTCATTACTTTGGAAAAAAATGGCAACAAAATGATTGACAAGTGAAGAAAAGAAATGGATTGCTGCCAAGAGTTGCCAAGGTATTTTGATGTAATCTTTATTGGGGCAATAGCAAGCAGGTTCTCCTATGTCAAGAAAATAATTGCAGCAGAGCAAAAGATGCAGTTGCTGGCTCAGTAAAGCTCTGGTGCTTTGGGCAATTCAAATTTTCTTTCCCTTTCTTCCTTGGCGCCTGTTTGAGGTTTACCTCATTATTTATTTATTTATTGCAAAAGGGTCCCCAATGGTTCATGGCTGAGCTGGGTTTTAAATCCAGGATGTTCTTATAATGAAGAATGCTCCTACTTACTATGGAAGTGTTAAATTGCTGATTTGTTTGTTTCAATAGACTAGCTCTAGCACTCTGCTAAAAAAAATAGAAGTAAAAGGTATTTTTCTACCTCTGGGAATTAATGTTCAAGTTCAAATAGTAGGCAGTAAAGAGGGCACACAATATGGTGTGTATGGTCTTCATGGAATTCAAATTATAGCAAACTATAACCCTGTTGTTGGCCCAACTTGTGTGTTTTCCTAGCTTTGTTCTGATATTCTTCTGTTGAGGTATGGTTGTCTTAAAAAGTTATGTACAAACTTTTATGTAAGCCAAATTCCTGCATAAAAAGGATTCCCGCTCTTACAGAGATGATAGATAGATAGATAGATAGATAGACCATATTTTCCGATGTATAAGACGACCCGGCGTATAAGACGACCCCTGACTTCGGCGCCGATTTCCATGCCTAGAAAGTTGTCTTATCCGCCGGAAACTACCGTAATTTCCAGCGTATAAGACGACTCGGCGTATAAGACGACCCCCAATTTCAGCACCGATTTCCGTGCTTTAGAAAGTCATCTTATACTCCAGAAAATACGGTAGATAGATTTTATATGCATAGATTTCAGCGACTCAGATGTTTGTACTCAGCACATGGATATTGAGTAAAGGATTGGAAAGGAGCTGGAAAATCTCAAGCTTATCCCTGGTAATGATTAACTAAATTTTCCCTAACCAGAATCCTGTAGTGTGTTGACTTTAATTCCCAGAATTCCTCAGCAGGCATAGTCATAATAGTGTATAT